ACACCTGTAAATAAATCCCAATAAGTACAACATACCTTATACAGTACCAGACTCTTGAACTATATTCATGCCTGGGAAATTTGAAGTTTTTTGGACTTTAGTACCTAAAAAAATTTGTTTGTATGTATGGAATGTTCATAAGTAGAATGTTCTTAAGTAGAGGACTATCTGTATATGTATATATATATATATATATATATATATATATATATATATATATATATATATATATATATATATATATATATATATATATGCACATATATACACATATACATATATATGCATATGTACACACACACACACACACATCTCTCCCCTTCTCTATGGCTCTTCCTTTTCTACTCTATGAATGTCCCTCTCTCTATCTCTCCTTTCTCTTTCTCTCTCACTCTCTTTCTCTCGCTCTCCCTCTCTATATCTCACCCTCTCCTAGTCTCCCTTCTCTACTTCTGTCCCTCTCTCCATCTCTGCATCCCTATGTCTATGCCTCTTCCCTGTCTACAATGTGACTGTTTCTGTATTTGCATTAACTTAACAATCAGCTTTTCTCCTTTAGTCGCCTTATGTTACAAGTGAGCACCGGCACATACTTGCTGGGATATTGCTGGTGTCTAACACAAACTATACCATGACCAGCCAGGTATAGTTATGGCCAGCTTTTACCGAAAATAATCTTAGATTTTACAGGAATTGCTACTGAAAAAATGAATGATATAGGACATTTTTGGTGCTTAGAAAAAATCTTAGTGAAAAGAATCAAGTGGAAAGAATCAATCAATTTGCTATATCAAGAGTGCAATAGAATGCCAGGGAATATTGTATTACAATTAGGTAAATATTGGCCACTGATTTTCTTCTCTTTGCCAAAAAAATAGGAACTTGAAATAATTATACATGAAGTGACTGATGTCATGGGGTCACTGATGTGAAAGAGGTTTGAGGAAGGAGGGCTATGAGTTTAAAACGATTATAAAGCACTACTTTACTCCACTCATATATCAGCCAAAAGTAGGGCCACTCCTTACTATACTAAGTATTTTTTTTTTACCAAGGCAAAGATACATCTGACGTGTTTGATGATGACAGAATGGTAGAATGGTAATGATAACCATTTGACAACTGACAGTTTGGTGACAATATTTTAAGTAAAATATACCAATGTTACTTGGACAATTGTCAGCAATATGTTAAGTGCATCTGTTTTCCAAGAAAAATTGGAATATAGACATAATAACCTGTGACTGACTTCAATCCTCATTAAAAAAAGATGGCTGCACTGAAGGCCTTTTTAGGTAAACAATAAAAACAACAAAAGAGGGTACAATAATCGTTACCAAATGATTCTGACTTGATTACAGAGTGTGCTTGAGTTTACTTTTTATGAAATCCCTCTTGTACTGATTTTTTTTCTTTCACTGGGTGTACATTGGTTGATTAATGACATACAAAACAAAAACAGGAAATAACTAGCAGAAGTGTCTTGCTATCTCCCCTCCTTCTCTCTCTAGCCTTGTCACTTTCATCCTCTTTGTCAGTTCTCCTCCTTCCTTCCTTCCTCTCTCTCTCTCTCTCTCTCTCTCTTCTTTTCTCGCTTCTTCTCTCATTTCTTCCCTCGCTTCTTCTCTCATTTCTCCCCTCACTTCTTCTCTCAATTCTTCCCTCATTTCCTCCTTTACTGTCTCTTTCACTTCCTCCCCCACTCCACCTCCACCCCCCTCCAACCTGCCCATCCACCCACCTCTTAGCAAGTTGGCACACATTCCACCATGGTTTAACTACAGCCCTGGACACTAGATTCTCTCTCCTCCTTGCTTTATGATGCAAGAGGTGCTTTTCTAACCCACATCATGTGTTTGGCTATGAGGTCATGAATACAATTTGAAATCAAGGTAAAAATCCTTGTAAGAAATTAGAATGCATACTATGGATGGAAAACTGCACAAAAATGAACCTCAGTCATGTTTCAAATTGAACTTTTTTTAAATAACCATTTAGGTAAAATGTATTGACTACTAATTAACTCAACTTCTGCATGGATATTGGTGGTTCATATATATACAATATATATATATATATATATATATATATATATATATATATATATATATATATATATATATATATATATATATATATATATATATATATATTTATTTATTTATATATATATATATATATATATATATTGAGTTGATGCTTGATAAGATGGAATTTTTCAATTAATTTTTGAAAAATTCAGTGATATTCAAGAAAATTTTGATCTGTTCTGATCACTTGTGAGAAACTCTTTGGCAGAGTTTCACAGGAAAATACTCAAAAATAAACACGGAATGTGTAAATTGTGGGCCCTTTCCACCTGCTTCTATCAGGGAGATGAGCACATAAATACACTATTCTTGGAATATCTTTACCCCCCCCCCTAAAAAAAAAAAATGGAAACAGTATCATTTAGAACTCTGGAGCATCATAGAGTAGCTGGCAACTTTATCCCAGTATATAAACAAAATTAGGACTTGAAGAAGATTTTAAGAGCAAATGATGGAAAGAAGCAGACTATCCTTCCCTCTATTCTAAATGACAACACGTCAATCATGGAAAGCATGACGACCCTTGCCCATCCACTGTAACCACTCCCTGATACTTTCACAAGAAACATATTTGAAAATGAAGATGAGAGGTCTGATGTAAAACTTTATGATCCTCTCCCCATTTACCTGTGCGAAGTCCAACCATCCCTCATGTCAATTCAGAAACTCGCTGACAATCACCCGGCCACACTCGTGTTGTGCTTAAAAAATACACCATATTCAAAACATCTTATACTTGCATTTCTTTTCTGTATTGTTTTTTCTATAACAAAAATGTATGTATTTCTATTTAAAGTATTATCATAAGAATATTCACATGAACTATAAATGCAGCTGGCTATTATGTTTTTTAGTCTACATTATGCCCATTTATAATGTATTCTTCTGGGATACTGTGTATCACTATTCATTGGCTAGTTATTAACTATACTTTTGAGGCCCATGTTAACAATAAATAATGGTGATTCCCTGCATATGCTGTGAAAGTTTATATAAAAAAATAACCATGCAGATGGGGTAGAAGGGGCAACTCATTCATGGAAAATCTAAATATTTATAATATGACATACAGTAAACATTAATCAATATCACAATACATTGTTAGGCCAAGGGGAACATCTATATATCTATCTATATGTCTATCTATCCATCTATCTATCTATTTACCAATCAACTTGTAAAATACATCTCTGTTGAAAGAGCTTCAAACCTCCACAGTCTAGGTTACATCCAAAAAGAGCAGGACATATTTAGCACTAGTTTACTTTACTTAAGCACTAATGGGGCTTAGAGGTAGGGGCACCAAGTTCAAATGAATACCAGACTTGTCAACCGAATAATAAAACAAAGGTGACAGAGATTTAAAACTTCTAGAGGACCTATATTCTTGATCCATTTCAAGAACTCTATTTCTAAATGGCTATTCAGAATCTCTGCTTCTTTTTCCTAGCTGATTATTTAAAACTAATTGAAGACATGAAGACATATCATGTCTGGGTACCTAAAGGCATAGTTACATGGGTCTTTTATTCTCAACCAATTCCTGATAACACATCTGCAATATCATAAATTTTGATGCATGCCGACTAGTTTCAAACAAAAAATATTTGGATGAGCTTGCACTTCCAGTGTTCAGTGCAGTCTGACTGAAAATATTCTAACAATTCATAATTTGATATCAATTATGTAAACCAAGTACAATTATTTAACTGCATAGTAATAATGTAGCATCATGTGAACAAATACCAACATGTAAAGTAAAACAGCAGACATGCATGATCTATCCACAAAATACCAATATACATCAATAATGCAAAAGATCTAATGCCATGGGCTTTCTTGCTTTGTCTTATATCTATTCTTTAAATAAGCTTAGAAAATAAATAACTGTGTTATGTACACCAAGCTTTATCCTGGCTAATTTCAAATGTTTTATGATATTGCATAATCCCCAAAAGATGAAGCAGAAACAAGCTTGAATATTGATATTGTTTAATTTTACAGACCATTTCCTGCTTACCATTCTTTCGTTGATGTAGCCGTGAGGTGTTTGGTCATATTTCGGAGTACCTAATGAAGTGAGAACTAACTGTTCCTAATTATTAATAATTTTCTCTTACTAATAACATACTGACCATATATGACATATAATACTGAATGGAGCAGATTATAAATGACCTTACTTGTTCATCTTATCAGTGATCATCACACAGAAATTATTAGTGACCTGAAACATTAGTGAACTGATTACAGATCCCCAGCACTACAGATCATTCTCCTTCAGCCTTTCTGTAAAAATCTTCAACACTAAAAACCTCTGTGTCCAAACTGCACAAAGTGAACCCTTCCCTCTGGTTACTTCCTCAAGCCCTGCTTCTTCAGAAGACTTTGAACACCTGACTTTGTTTATTAGCAGCAAGTTAATTTACTCTAAAAATAAGGTTGTTTATTCTTAGGGAGATGCTAGTGAGAGATGGAAATTATGAGACCACAGGATAAAATAAATCATAAAAATAAGTAACCCTATTGCCAAATATTACAATACAGTATATTAATCTTCAAGTGATACAAAGTGATATGCAATAAGAATTTCTGCTGTGGTGGTAATGTCTGTGTTATCATTAGGATATTAGTGATACTGAAGCTACTGCCTCAGTGACCGAAAGAACACAAAGAGAATTTTCTACATTACTTCTTGCTTCAGGCTTAGCTTCTTGAAATTATGAAAGTGAAGTCTGTTTTGTCTCTCTTCAGAAATCTTAACTATAAAAATTGCAAACAAAATGTTCCCTTTTACCATTTATCATCATGTCTTTCCAAACTCCAGTATTAAAAAATATCAACCACAATAACAGTAACAATAACAAAAACAGACCCAATGATCCCCAAATCCAAAGTGCGTGTACTCACCCCGTGCAACCTGGCCGAGTTTAGGGAGAGAAACGCCCTCGGAAATGGGGTGGAGAGGCACGAGGTCCACAGCGCCCAGCCGCGGATGGACGCCCTCGTGGTGACTCAGGTCTATCAGCTCGTAGGCCTTTGCGCACGCTGCTTCTACACAAGGGCCTGGAAGAGGTTTTGGATTGGATTATCTATGTTCTTATGTTCTTGAAGTGGTGAATGGAGCCCACTAAGCAGAACAATCAGAATTATATATATAATCTGATAATTATTTGTATTCATGACGGTGTGTGCGTGTGCGTGTGCGTGTGCGTGTGCGAGAGTGTGTGTGTGTGAGTGTGTGAGTGTGTGAGTGTGTACGTGTGTGCGCGGGTGTGCATGTGCCTGTGCGATTGTGTTTGTACGTGTGTTCATATGAATGTACAAGAGCATGTGCATATGCATGTATGATAACCAAACCCTCTTTGTCAGTATTCTTTAATATTTTATTATGATGTTAACATTTAATGTTTAGTATTTTACAAGAAAAATATTTATGAAATTGAAATCTTAATTTTGGAAATCATTGCTACAGTAGTCATTACTATTATCAGAAATAATACAAAACAGGTCATAATTAGGGTAACAGCAACCAATGGAAATTATTTCTTCTGCACAGAAGGAAAGGGATTTAATGGTGCTAGTGTGATGAAGAAGCCATAATTTTCTTTCCCTTTAGCTTCTTTTTCTTTATCAAAAATCACAATGCATGTCACAGAAATCAACCCTCTTTCTATTTCTATTAAATTGTTGTTGCCCATGCCCAGTCATCTCAGAAAAAGCAGACAAAAATAAATGCTTGCCAAGTAATACAGTAGAAAAAGTCAAGAATCTTAACTCCTCTGTGGCAGTACACAAAATTTTACATTTATCTAGGCTACAGGCAGGTTTAGGCACCTGGCGAGGAAAATGGATACCTAAATGCATCTGGTATACACTAAGAGGTATATTACAATATCAAGCTTCCTATC